TAACACCTCTATTCTAATTTCTTTGCTAAGACTTTCTTTCTGAGTCATGTAGTGAACCGCCTTTAGCAGAATGCATAAGAGCTGCATTCATGGGGGTGTCCTTTTCCTTTTTCCTGAAAACCACAGGACCATCTCAGACAACTGTTAAAGAAGAATGAAGATCTACTGCCTCCAAAAAAGGCAGGTGCTCAGCAGAAGAGTGGAATGCCTGGAATGGAGTCTGACCCAATAAACCTAAATATTCTGACAAAAAAAAAAAAAAAAAAAAAAAATACTGGGGTCATTGAACTGGTGTCACTAGTGAACAACCAAGCATTATACAGTTGTTTTTTCATTCCAAGTATGTGATTTCCATTCTGGTTGTTGAAAATGCAGCTCCCTAATAAGACATTAGATGAAAACAAATACCTTGTAACCTGCCTAAACTGATGGTCTCTAACATTCTTAAACTCTCTTAAACTACTTGCTGCTGTTGGTTCCCCTTCTGTAGAGACTGATCTAACTATATCACTACAGAAAGTCTTGTGGGGCTAAGGTTAGTCTAAATAGCAAGCCAAAAGAAAAATCAGACTGAGACAGAAAATAAAATGGATGTGAAACTACTCAAAAGGGCTCTAGGACACTTTTACTAAAGCCAGAAAGGGGCCCGATTGTTGATAGTCTAATATCTTGGTTCAGCAATCTACAGCTTAGAAAACCACTGGATCCAGCCTATGGAGCTGTGGTTTTGGCAGCAGGAGCTTCACCTGCACTGCACTGGGTCTAGCCAGGAGCTTTCCAGTTTCAAAACACAACCAAGTGGCAGGGAGAAGCAAGGAGTAGCAGCTGCAACAGCTGGGTCCTAGCACCAGCCTACCTTGGACCAGAGATGGATCATTCTGGCCTGCTGCCAGAAAGTGTTGCAGACCTCTGGTATATACAAAATGCATACATGTGTGCACTAGGCGGCTAGTATTCGCTTCGGATTCGGCCGATTCGGGGGACTGTGATTTGATTCGCTGATTTGAATCACTATCCCAAATCAATTCGGCTGAATTGGGATTTGGAGATTCAGCCACTGCCAAATCGGCTGAATCTCTGAACTGAACAGGCCCCATCCCCCACCCACTTTCCCAGCCCTGTCAATGGCTGCCCCACCAGTGTCCTGGCTCTTTAAAAAAAAAGCCCCACACTCACCGGCTCCTGCCAGGGGGGGCAAGGAGGCAAATCCCCTTTGCCCCTCCACTGTCCTGCACTGCACTGGGGGGCTCTGCCATGAGCCCACAGAGCCCTGACGGCCACTGCAGCAACCAGTGAGCGCAGAGGTTTTTTTTGTTGGTTTTTCTTTTAGTGCCAGAATGCTGGAGCCGGGCAGAGCAGCTATCAACGAGGCTGGGAGAGCAGGCAGGGATCAGGGGTGCTCAGAAGGCCTGGGGGAGCAGGTAGGAAATGGGGCTGGGCAGGAGTTGCTCCATGGTCCACTCCCTCCTCCTCCAGTCTCCCCTCCCCCACCCCCAACTTACCGGCATGGAGCCCGGGTCTAGCTCCTTGCTGCAGCGAGCAGGGATGCCCGAATCTCCAAATCTTCTCTGAATCTATTTGGAGGCTTTGAATTGATTTGGACCTTTTAATTGGTCTCCCAATTCGATTCAGATTCAGAGATTCAGCCACTGAACTGGATCAAATCTTCTCCGAATCAAATCAGCAACCGAAGTTTCGCACAGCCCTAGTGTACACATACACACGCATGCACACACTAATGATGAAGGCTAAAATTGTTAGAGTATCCAATCTGCTCTCCAAGAAGTATAGATGTCTTGCTGGAACAGGAAGGTGTCAAGGAAAATGCATTCTAGAATCACCTTTTTAATTCTGCACAACCATCTTACACCTATTTTTGACTGTTGTCAAAAAATAAAAATTAAGTTTAAAAAAGTCCTTTCATATCCCACTATATGATAATACTACCCCTACTTTTGAGTGGACAAAAAAACAAACAATTTCTCTCTACCCCTAAACCTTTATGCTTATACTGTGGTTTCTCTTGTTGCACACACTTCATCTCAGAATGAAAATTCTGTAAAGATAATATCCTAATGGGTATTCTCTGAAGCCATTTGCCTGCAATTCAACTCAGATTCCTACTTCTCTCAGAGAAGTGCCAAATCGTTGTCTCAATTCCATTCTTAGTGTTTCAGTAAGATGAAGATAGACATGTTTCTAGAAATCATAATACTAAATTTTGTACTCAGGTTTAGTATTTATGTATTTAGTATTATATTTCTGGGAACATGGCTATCTTCATCTTACTGAAACACTAAGAATGGAATTGAAACAAGGATTTGACACTTCTTTGAGACAAGGATTTGACCCTACTCAGAAGTAGGAATCTGAGTTGAATCTCAGGCAAACTGCACCAATATTATCTTCAAAGAATACCCATTAAGGTATTATCTTTACAGAATTTTCATTCTGAGATGAAATGTGTGTAACAAGAGAAGCAACAGTATAAGCAAACTGCAAATGAAGAAATTAAAACAACTTCAATACGCCATTATTTTGTTAGTGATATCTGCCATCCAAAGAGATCACTTGCTACAAAAACTCATTGCTAACACCATTAAATGGATATTCTCTCTGTAGGACTTAGCTTTAATCTTCAATTCATTTTTGTTCTCATGATAGTTGGCTGGATCACTAGAATACAATCAGAACTCTCTCCTTCTCCTCCCCAGAAGTTCTGCTGTTTTTCCCCTCCTAGTTCAGCATAGTTTAGTAGTTGTTGAAAATGGAAACTACTTATAAGGTCCAAAATGTTGAACATTTCCCTTATATGCTTACAATGCTGAATAAGACTTGCCCATTTGGAATTCCTTTAAAAGTTAGCTCATTTTGCCTATTAAAACTAAAAATCTGGAAATATTTCCCCATTCAAAAAGAAACACTGTGATAATACAGTAGCATGTGCTAAGAACTATCTTCAGGGGGTATTCTCACTGAAATCCAATAGGAAATATTTTTAAGGATTACAGGGGGGCTATGGGGAGGTGCAAAGCATCCTGGGGTGCTGGGGGACAATGAGTTAAACTTGAAACTGGATGGGACCTGGGGCAGAAGTTCAATAAACTGGTTTGACCTAAATCAGTTAAGTCTGATACTACATTCATCCAAGTTTATCTTAAATTGGTTTCAGCCATTTTGAAAGCAGTTTATGCACACTGAACTTCTGTTGCACTACAGATTTGAACCAGTTTCCAATCACTTACCCAGTTTAGGTGCAATTTCTGTCCCTAGCCCTGGTGGTTTTTAAATGTGTACCCCTTCATCACAATATACAATTATATGCATCAATTATGTACATATTTTGATTAAAACCTACCTGTATTACTTGGAAAAATATAAAAACCACAGTATATGCTAGTTAAGGATAACATGAGCCCAAGTCTGGAAAAGCCACAGTGCTAATGAGCAAAGTCATAGGCCAAAGATGCCAAGGTACCCATTAGTAGGAATTAAGATTTAATACTTGTAAACCTACTGGAAACTGTTTTTCCATTGAATGTTGTCATGGCACCATTATCTCCTGTCATCTTTGCAAGCTTCAATATCCTATTTGTCCACTTTTCTGACAAATGTTTTCTTGCTGTCCTTGGCATCAGGCACTCTTACCCTAAATCGACCACACCTTCCTCCCCACCTCAGTTTCATTCTAAGACAGGGGCGGGCAATTATTTTGGGCAGAGGGACCTCTTACTAAGTTTTGGCAAGCCAAGGGCCACATGACAGGCAGCCCAGGACAGATAAATATTTATTTTTTTAATTTTTTAGGGGCCCTGAGGACCGGATAGGATGGCCTGACGGGCCGCATCTGGCCTCCAGGCCACATTTTGCCCACCCTTGCTCTAAGATATACTTCCTATCATAATGCCTGCACAAAATTACCCCACTCAAATATTCCTTTAGTAACATACAAATGTAGGTGACCGTATTTCAGCATTTCAGTGTTGCAGTATAGTCCATATACAGACCATATTTCAGCAGACTCTCTCAGTGAAAACAGGATGCAAGGTAACTGTAATAAAAAGCTTAACTTTTTACTAAGCTTCACTAAGCAATGTCTTATTTCTTTCTTACTGCATCATATCTAAAACAGCATGCGATTTTACTGGGGGGAAGGGGGCATGCCAGAGAAAGAAAGAAATTTGCTGCTTTGAAATGGTATTCAATACAGCTAAGAAATAAGTTACTTTACTGTTATCATAAATCAAATCATGGAGGGATGTAAAATGCATTTATTTTCCATTCTGTGCTTCCTCAAATGCTTTACCTACCAAATCAGCTTCAACAGGGAGAGAATTTAAGTCACTCAACACAGATTCAGCATTCAAAAACTTTTTTTTTTTTTAAATAATGTTACCAAATTGTTTTTTTCTTTCCTCAAATTTTCAGCTGAATTTGAACCTAATCTAAGGTAACGCTGCCTGACGTCCAATATCAATCCATCGTTACTACGTACATGCATATGCTATGAGATGGCCATTTCTAACTCTGATGACCTGCGATCAACCAAATTTAAACTACTTTTTAATCCACAAAAAATATTTTTGAAATACTAGAAGTTAAAATGATCTCTAATACAGTTTACAAAAAAAAGGGTTGAAGCACAGTGGTCCCCTCCTTGTGACAAGGTATTTAGCGGAACACATGGGGCTGTGCCATAAGCACTTCTGCTATGGCCTCGAACTTGTGACATCTGGGCTGTCACTCTGCATCCTAGCACCTGCGCCACCCCAGCCCCCAAAGCCCAGTGGTGATAAGGGTTTAAATTACACGTCTTTTGACATGACCTTCATAACTCCATCTTTTTTATTAGAAAAGTTATCCTAAAATTTCTCAATGAAACTTTTCTACCTAACAAAACCATTAATTTGCACATTAAACACAGTCTGTAGAAGCAAAACATTATCACAGTTACGTGATGACTCCAGTAAGAGGAACAAAACTACGTTTGCTCAGCTTACATCTTTTTCTGACCGATGTGGGAACATCGAAGACTGGCTGTAGTACATGTTTTCATCGTGGTAATCACCATCGACCCCCTCTACAAACTTCTTTCTTGAAGCACCAAACATGCTGTTTGTCACCTAAACCAAAAGAAAAAAATTATTAATTTCTGTAAGTAAGTGCTTTCCAAAGAAACAAAAGGAATAAAACAATTTCCATACTACAGAATTTTTAATATGTAGTTAACTTTGCTACATATTTTTGTTGCACAGACCTTCTCTTCAATGACATTTCTCTACTACAGAATGGCATAAATATAATCTTAAAAAGGATCGTTACTACTAACTAGATTTGTTTTGACGAACACCTAAAAATGTTTAGAGAAACAGTGGGCAACCCTCCTATATGATTACCATGATACTAAAACAGTTATTTTTGAGCCCAACAGCAAGAACATTACACTTGTGTATCATCAAGTACCAGAGAAAAGCCCTCACATACATACAGTATGTAACAAGGAAGCACGCACAAACCAAATTTTACATTTGGCCTTAAAAACACCATAGGAAATTACTTGTGTAAGAATGACAAATATTTACACTGCAAAGTCAAGTTCTTGAAAATTAAATTGCCAGATTTAAAATCATTCATAGAATCTTAATTCACCCGCCTTGTACACAGGCATTATTTTAGTGCAAATGAAGACTGCAGAACCCCTGCCTAATTCAAGGTTTAAAATGAATAAACACATGGGTATGTTTGTATAGCAACCATAAAATTTACATTACCTCATGTCCGAGCACCAACCTTTGTAATCTAAAAACATGTTGTATATTATAATATGAAAGTGAATTAATATCAAGATGTATTGCTATAGATAAAAATGAATTACATTATATACTTAACTGAAAGAACAAACTGAAGAGAAGCTTTGTAAAATTTGTGCGTTTGTTAGGTTGGTATTCTCTGAGAGTGAGAGTATGAGTGTGTACACACACACAGACACACAGTGCCATTACGAAGCATTTAAGTATACTAGAATAAAGTTTAAATGCGTCAGCTACCTGATTTTTATGCATTTTGAAACCAGAGTGCAGACAGCCCAATTTTATTTTAACGAGTTAGCTTGAAGTGCATTCTACACTGGCTGCCATGAATACTATTCAGTACCAAAAAAAGCTAATGTATTTTTGCTCCTCCTTCCCCACCCCTCCAACCCCATTACACTCAGGGTACACAGACGCAGTTAACATTTTAAGTGCTTTTATCTCCTCTTATGAATAAGTTTAAGAGGATAGACTTTGATAGGTTTTATGCAGAACATTAGACTGTTGTCTAATATAATATGTTCAAACTAACACCCTGAGATGGCAAAAAAAACCCCAAAGAAATGAAAGAGTTGCACTCTGCTTTCCAATTGTCAAATGTCCTGAGGTTTAGTTTTCCTTACATAAATGCAAAACTAAACTTCTAAAAAAAAAAAAAAAAATCACAAAAAAGAGCATCTATTAACTCCTGACAGCATCCGGTCTACTATATTCAATATCCCAACTCAGCTGTCCAACTTACAGCTTGCAAGTAGCCTGCATTAAGTTAAGGCCTCCAGACTTTCACCTGACTGTCACTCCCCTCCATCGCTCCAGCTGCCACAGCAGCATCTGGGCTCCCTCCTGCCTCTTCTGGCAGCTGCTTCCTGATGGCAGGGCAGGGCAGGGCAAGGAGCTAAGGGTGTGTCCAGGCCATGCACAGGGGGGAAATTACACCCAGGCAGGGGAGGTGAGGGAGGTCTCCATGAGGGAACTATGCACAGTACAGTGGGGAAGCCATGTGAGCAAGCAAAGTAGCAGGAAGAGGTTGAAAGCAGGGAGCATCCCAGTGGCCCATAGATTACATGGTATGGCCCACATAGTATACAATCCCTGACGACTTGGAAGCTGGACAGTCCTATCCTAACTCATCTGCAGTTCACCAATCCCAAAATAGTTTTTGTTGTATTGGGAACTAGCAGGAATTTATGCCAAAAAACAACACTTATTCCGAGACCAAATTATTTTAATTAGGGGCGTACTGATGACATTTCGGGGGCAATACCGCTAGCCTATTTTTAAGAAGGCACATTGGTCAATACCAATCTGATTGCCGATACAGCCGAGTCCAGCTGGTAAGTCTGTTGTGGTGAAAGGGGAGGGGGAAGGAAGGGCCATGAGGGGGCAGATCAATGCCCCCTGCACTGAGGGAGGGAGTCAGGCTGGGATAGGCGCTGCCCAGCTGAGGCGGGGCAGGCACAGGACAGAGCTGCAGCTTGTCCAGGGGGCACCAGGAGTGGGGCACCTCCCGTCACTGTGCGCCACGTATCCAATGGCTTCCACTGCTGCACCTGACACTTGTTCGGGAAGGCACGGGGGGAGGGGGCAGCATGTGCCCCTGGATCTGCACGGGGTGGGGCAAGGCAGGCTGCAGCTGCAGGAGTAGCAACAGGATGAGCCACCAGATGAGTGGCACGCAGCAGCAGGAGCCACACCCCCCAGACAAACTGTAGCTAATGTCCCGCGCCCACCCCATCTCTGCTGGGCACAGCCTACCCCAGCCTTACTCCCTACCTCACCATGAGGGGTATTGATTTGCCCCCCTACACCCTTTCCCTCCCCTGTCCCCTTTCACCACACCAGATATACCAGCTGGAAGCAGTTCTCCAAGCTGTTGGGCTTGTGCTCCTTGCTGCCTGCATGTTGTGCTGCAATGCATGCATGAGCATTTAATCAGCCAAATTATCAGCCACTTCAGGCCAATTTCTGATATAGTCAATTGCCAATCCGGTAAATCAAACCAATGTATTGGTGCACCTCTAATTTTAATCCTTACTCCTTATGGAGCATAGGTCATGCATTTCAGCTTTATTGGTCAAATCTCTTCGTAGGGTGAGAACAGCCCAGTACTACATCTTTGAAGTGAAAAACTCATCCCTCATGACACTGAAGATCATTTGCTACTTCCAATATACAAATAGACTGTAACTTCCATTAACATGGGAAACCAATACAGTATTTATCAAGAATTTTTATAATCCCACAACTTTCATGCTCTTTTCAAGCAGATGAAATGTTTTCTGCTCTGAAGAAATGTATTGATAAAGAGCAAAATATCAATTTTTACCTATTTTACACAATAAATGCACAACAATATTGAAAATACTGCATGTGGAATACTTCAAGTAGAATTAAGTTTTAGTAAAATTTTGATCAAGAAGAAATGGAGTATTAATATTTAATTTCAAATTCCTTTGCGCAAAGGTTTAATTTTCCATGTGTGCAAGGAGAGTGCATTTTTCCTTCAACAAGCAGCAAGTTTACAGGCTCTATAAAATACAAAATAAAGCATCCCAAATTGCTTCAGCAAATTCAACTAGCTTTTAAAACTTGTACTGAAGCTTCACTTTACTACAAGCATGTCTCTACCCCCTTAGAACTCAATCATTACATACCAGATGGAATAAAGCATTTAACAGGCTAAAGGGATTACAGTCATTTCTCCCCCACCCTACCCAGCCAAGGCAGAATGGAAGCTTCATCCCATTTGGAAAGGATAGAAGAATCCCCGAGTGATGCTATTCCTAGCTCCTATTCCAAGCTGAACCAGTCAAGCATCTACTAGTCTCCTCAGAGATCAAACTTGAGGCCCATATAAAATTTTCTAGTACACCCCTGAAAAGCATAAAAGAAGAAAACCTTTTTGCCAGGGAGAAGTTCTACTATTATGATAAATTATTCTATTATAGTAGGAAAACCTGCAGAAAACATTACACAGGCACAAAAAACAGCATCTTGCACTCTCTTGTGTCTGTTAATGGGTTTTCAAGCCATAAGGAGTTGCAGGGTAGGGAAGACCCCAAAATCAAATTGCAACGAAGTAAAAGCTATGGAAATGCATGCTGGAAGGTAAAGTTACCCAAATAAGTTGGGAATTACAGTAGAGAAGTTTTACTGTATTATAAAATAATAGTGCCAAAAAAAGGAGAGAGAGAGAGAGACTGCTCACTCAGGCCCCAATTGTGCATGCATTTAATTGATAACTAAGCATATGCATTGACCTTATACACAAAGCAGTCCAGAGTCTTTACAATATCAGACCTCAGGGTACTGAAAGGTCTTTATGTACAAAGTACAAGAGAAAAATAGCAACATTAGGCAGAATGAGAAGTTGTCAAAAGTGTACACAATCCGAACGAAACCAAAAACTAACAAGTTTTAAAACTTTCAAGAAGATATTTCTTATATAAAAAGATGGATCAAAAGCTGTTACTAGAAGTTTGTACCCTATTATCATTGGTAAGCTCCCTTTATAATTACTATAATTTACAACTATTGTTAGACAGACTCTTCAAAATAATTATAAAATGGACTATACTATAAGAAACCATTAAAAGATAAGACTAAGACTGGGCAATAGGAATGCTTTATTCAGATAATTAGTGAAGGGTACTAACAGAATCTGAAAAGCATATTAATTCAATACTGGGGTACATTTAGAGTAAGAACCTGAATTATTTGGGGACATCAACTGAACAAATATAGTTGGTTGCTTTGATTATCTTTATTAAAATGCAATGGCATCCATTGATTATTTTTCTTTTAAAAAGGATTTTGGCATAACTACATATAGCAACTCATACAATCATTGTCTTACCAGCAATTGACACCCTCACTGTTGTTACCAAAACCAAAAAACTTTGTGTACTTTTCAAACAAACTGCTCCCCGACAGTGAAACACTGCAGAAACTGAACGACAATTAGGCAGCCACATGCATGTGTAACAGAAGTTTGCTTAAGTAAAACGTATTGCCAATCACTTGCACCATGAATCACAGCATGGAATAAGTAGTAGTACTCCCCTTTCCACCAGTTTCCAATTCTATAATAGATCTGACCAGATAGAACAGAATCAGATAGTTACTGAGGATCAGTAACTACACAGGAAGGAATCAGTGGGATAAAAAGATTTAATATTGCTTCAACAGCATTACAGTCTAAGAACCCGCCATTAGAACAAGCACTGGTCTAATAGCCTAACATTTATGCCCACTTCCTAATCACAAACCTGGCCCCAAAGCATGCTGTTATTAGATAATATTTCATTCGAGTC